AATGCAGCGACCCCCAGTCTCCTGTTCCAGCCTAACCCCAGGCGCCCGGGGCCGGACAGCCCACTCCGCCCAGGAGCGTGTGGTCTCGCTGTAGCGGGCCGTCTCTCTGATCTGCCAGCGATGCACCGCCGGCTCCAGCGCGATCCCCCGGCCCCGAGCCGAGCCAGCCCCCCCTTCATTATCAGAGTGCGGGGGCCGAACGGTCTTGCACCATCCCTGGGTGCGTGGGTGAAGTGGGATTATGTGGCCCACATTCTGAATGTTTGTCGTTTGTTGTTGTCGTCGTCCCACCCCCCCGCGAACCACCCCGCGGCCCACCTCGCGATCCACCCTGCGACTCACCCGCGACTCACCCGCAACCCACCCGCGACCCACCCCGCGCCAGTCCCGTTGCTACGTACAGTCGAAATCCATAGCAAGGGTGGGTAACCTTCTCAAGGTTACCCTTGCATTCTTGCCTCTTCGGTCTGTCCTTCACCATCTTCGATGGCCAGCCCCGCTCGAATAGCGCCGACATGGGCGTCCAAATTCGCTTGCATCCTTACCTGGCGTGCATCCGTACTATCGATAATGAAGGCCTTACGGCTGGTGCCGCCGACCCAGACCGACGACGACGACGACGACGACGACGACGACGACGACGACCACGACGACGGACATGGGCGCGCAAGGGACTTGCGTCCTTACCTTGCGTCCTTACTGCCGATGTTGGCTGTATCAGCTCTCCTCGCTGCCCGTGCGTGCCACCCAGGGCCAGTCAGCCGGCCGCTCCACGCGCCGTCGCGCGCCTCCCGCCCCCCCCCTCGGAGGGCGCCAACTGTACACCTGCACCGATCCTGGCATGGCCTGACCTGGGCCCAGAGGATCCGCGCACGCGCTCGGCTGGAGAAGAGCCCACACCCCCTCGCGCCGTGCAGGCATCACGGCGTGGAGGGTTTCTCCGAAGGGCTTAGGCGACCCCTCCTCCTCCTCCTCCCTCCTCCTCCTCCTCCTCTTCCTCCTCCTCCTCCTCCTCCTCCTCCTCCTCCTCCTCCGCCCACCTCCCACCTCCCTCCTCCCACCTTCCGCCTCCACCTCCCTCCTCCACCTCCCTCCTCCTCCCTCTTCCCTCCTCCCTCCTCCTCCTCCTCCTCCTCCTCGTCCTCCATCTCCTCCATCCCCTCCCCCCTCCTCTTCCTCCTCCTCTCCTCCTCTCCTCCTCCTCCTCCTCCTCCTCCTCCTCCTCCCCTCCTCCTCCCTCCCTCCTCCTCGTCCTCCTCCTCCTCCTCCCTCCTCCTCCTCCTCCTTCTCCTCCTCCTCCTCCTCCTCCTCCTCCTCGGGTCGCCTGCGTCCCCGGGGGAAGCCGTGCACCCTTACTGCCTCGCGCCGTGCAGGTATCACGGCGCCAGGCCTCGGGCAGGCTTCGGCGCCCGGGGGTCCTCGGCCCAGCCCAGGGGCCGTCGACGGAAACGGCTCGGTGCGGAAAAACGGCACGGTCCAGGGGGAAGGAGGAGGAGGACGAGGAGGCGAAGGACGAGGACAAGGAGGAGGAGAGGAGGAGGAGGAGGAGGAGGAGGAGAAGGAGGAGGAGGAGGACGAGGAGGAGGACGAGAGGGGAGGAGAGGGAGGAGGAGGAGGAGAGGAGGAGGAGGAGGAGGAGGAGGAGGAGGAGGAGGAGGAGGAGGAGGAGGAGGAGGAGGGAGGAGGAGGAAGAGGGAGGAGGAGGAGGAAGGGGAGGAGGAGGAGGAGCAGGAGGAGGAGAAGGAGGAGGAGGCGGCGGCGGCGGAGGAGGGTGTGCCCAGACCTCTGGTGGTCCACGTTCCACGTTCTAGAGACACGACGTCGGGGGTCTGGGAAGCCAGGAGGGCATATGCGCCGATCCTGGGCCCATGATCGGTGCAGGTGTATACTTGACCCCCGCCAGCGGGATCTCTTCACAACATGGATCCCCAAAGGCCTGGCCCCTTCCGTGGGGACCGGTTTTTCACCCCGACCCGTGTTTTGACGGCCCAGGGGTCCAGCAAGGGCCCCCAAGGGCCGAAAGCGAGACAAAACCAGAGTCTCGTTTTTCTCAATGCGTTCGAGGGCTGGGGGTCCTCGAACCTCGAAGGTCTTCCTCGGTCACGTTTGTTTTTTTCCGGGACCGTTTTGGTCACGAGGAGAGGGGGCCTGGTCGGGCGACGAGATCTGCACCTGGCCGCTGCGCCAGGCCTAGCTCATCTTGGGCCCCGGAGCGGTGCGGCGGCCTCCCTGGCCAAGCCACGCGCGCGTCTGCACCGCCCCTGGGCTCAGGCTTGGCCTGGCCAGGGTCAAGTCGGGCCTGTCCCTGTACAGGAGGAATATCCCCAAACAGTCGAGACATTGTCTGGGGACCATTTTTGGACTCTTTGTTTGGGATGTCTTCGGAGCATTTCGGGGGCATTCCTCGTTCTTCCTCCAAAACACCCCTGTGGGGGGACAGGCCCGACCCAGGGCCAGGGCAATGTGCCCCCCCCCCCCGGACCGCGCAGCGCGCCGCGTCGCCCCCCCCCCCCCCAGGCGGTCGGCGTGTCGTCCAAGGCGGGCAGCCTGGGCGGCCCGCGCGCGCCGGCGGCTCCCCAGGCGAGGGCCCTCCCCGCGCCCTGGCCTGCGGCCTGGCGCGCGCGCGGCGCGGCCGCGCGGCGCGCGGCGCGGCAGCGCGGCAGGGGGCGCGGCGACGGCGGCGGCGGCGAGGGCGAGGGCGAGGAGGAGGACGAGGACGAGGAGGGCGACGACGACGGCGACAACGATGACGACGACCCTGGCGCCGTCGGCGGCGGCGAGAGCGAGCACGACGACGGCGGCGGCGGCGGCGGCAGCAGCGACGAGGACCAGGTCAAGGACGAGGGCGAGGACGGGGACGGACGAGGACGAGGAGGGCGAGGAGGAGGACGACGACGACGACGATGGTGACGACGACGGCTGCGGCGTCGGCAGCGACGACGCTAACGACGACGACGACGGCGACGACGGCGGCGACGGCGGTGGCGGCGGCGACGACGACGGTGGCGGCGGCGTCGGCGGCGGCGAAGGCGGTGGCGACGACGTCGTAGGCGGCGAGGACGAGGACAAGGACGAAGACGACGACGGCGACGGCGGCGGCGGCGGCGGCAGCTGTGACGAGGAGGAGGAGGACGACGAGGATGACTGCGGTGGCGCCGGCGGCGACGACGACGGTCACGACGGCGTCGGCAGCGGCGACGGAGGCGACGGCGGTTTCGACGAGGCCGTGGAGGAGGAAGAGGAGGAGGAGGAGGACGACGACAACGACGGCGGCGGCTTCGACGACGACGGGCACGACGACGACGGCGGTGGCTGCGGCTTCGGCGACAAGGACAACGGTGGCGGCGGCTGCGGCGACGAGGACGAGGACGAGGACTAGGAAGACGACGACGACGAGGACGACGACGACGACGACGACGGCGACGGCGGCGGCGGCGACGGCGGCGGTGGATCGGCGAGAATGAGGACGAGGACAACGACGACGACGACGACGACGACGACGACGACGACGACGACGACGACGACGACGACGACGACGACGACGACGACGACGACGACGACGACGACTACGACAATGTTGACGACGACGACGAGGACAAGGACGGAGACGACGATAGCGACGGCGGCGGCGGCGGCGGCAGGGGTGACGAGGACGAGGACGACGACGACGAGGACGACGACGAGGACGAGGACGACGAGGTCGATGACGGCGGCGGCAGCGACGACGACGGCGGCGGCGACGACGACGGCGGCAGCGACTACGACGGCGTCGGCGGCGGCGGGGGCGTCGGCGAGGACGACGACGAGGACAAGTTCGACGACGATGACGACGATGACGACGACGACGACGGCGGGGGCGGCGGCGGCGGCGGCAGGGGTGACGAGGGAGGAGGAGGAGGAGGAGGAGGAGGAGGAGGAGGAGGAGGAGGAGGAGGAGGAGGAGGAGAGGAGGCGCGAGGCGGAGGCGGAGGCGGAGGCGGAGGGAGGAGGAGGAGGCGGAGGCGGGGAGGAGGAGGAGGAGGAGGAAGGAGGAGGAGGAGGAGGAGGAGGAGGAGGAGGGAGGAGGAGAGGAGGAGGAGGAGAGGAGGAGGAGGAGGAGGGGGAGGGGGAGGAGGAGGAGGAGGAGGAGGAGGAGGAGGAGGAGGAGGAGAGGAGGCGGAGGCGGAGGCGGAGGCGGAAGGCGGCGGGAGAGTGAGGAGGAGGAGGTGGAGGAGGAGGAGGGGGAGGAGGGGGAGGAGGAGGGATGGGTAGGAGAAGGGCTGGAGGAGGATGGTCCCAGCGGCTCTCAGGCCCCCTCCCCCAGGGCGCATTGGACTTCAGAGCTCTCCAGTGCCGAGAGGGCATCTCTGGCCCTGGTGACATTGTGCCAGCATAAACACCATCAGCATCAACATCCATCACCACCACAAGCATCTCCATGATCACCATCACCATCATAATAGTATGAATGATACTGGTCATTCTCACCATCACCATCATCATCATCACCATCACGATCACTATCACCATCACGATCACCATCACAATCATCATCTTCATCATCCTCGCCGTCGTCCTCATGGTCATCGTCATCATCGTCGTTCTTGTCATCGTCATCGCCATCATCATCACCAGTAACATCATCATCAAGCCCATGATGATACTGATGACGATTATGATGATGATGCTGCTGATGCTGATGATGATGATGCTAATGATCAGCATCATCATCGACAATAACATCAGCATACACAGCATCATCATCATCAGCACAATCGTTTCATCATCATTACCATCATATTCATCATCACAATCGTTATCATCATCGACATCATCAGCATCACCATCATCAGTATCATCATCATCATCATCATCGTCGTCGTCGTCGTCGTCGTCGTCGTCATCGTCGTCGTCATTATCATCATCATCGTCAGCATCAGCATTATCATCGCTAGCGCATCCTCAGGCAATGTCAGCGCCGCTGCGACGGCTGCCGCCTTCGCAACGCTTTTCGGATCATGAGTCAGGCGTGTTAGAGGTGTGATTTCCGAGGTCAGACATTTGGTGCTGCCGACCCGTGAGAGCTCGGCGGCGCGCCGAGGGGGGAAGCGAGGGGGTGCGGGCCTACTGGGAAGCGAGAGGGGCGTGTCGAAGACCCTCCGGCGCTCTTCGGCACGCCCGCAATGGGTGCGGAAGAAGTGGGTCGGATGCTCAACAGCACATGCTCACCCGAGCCGACAGCGGCTGCTGTTGGACAGGCGAGCTTCCGTCTCGAGCGAGCAGCACCCGCGGCGACACGGACAGCGACCCCTGTTTCAGAACGGACAGGAATTGCTGTTGGTCTTCGCCCCCGTTCTTTCCGTGCCCATTTCGGTCAGTTCCGAGACGCCCTCTGTGGCTTCGGAGAGGGCGCAGAGGGCTTCTCACGAGGCTGCAGGCCTTTGGAGCCTCGTGAGAAGGCCCGCCCCCTCCGCCTTCCTCCCTGGGCGCGCCGCCGAGAAGCGATGACGGCCGCCGTTCAAATACCCCTGCATGCCAACGTGGCCTTCCACGACACCAAGATATGTTGGGAGAGTCTGCAGGGCTCCCCGGAGGAGCCGATTTTCAACATCGCCCTCAACGTGAAGATAAGCGCCGCCGACATCGCGAAGGCGCTCATCAGCTTCCAGGAGAGCTCGGAGAAGATCTCCGCCAGCCCCGCGTTTCCGGCGTCGCAGGCAGGCTGGCGACCCCATAAGTCGAGCAGGAGGAAGAGGCGGAGGAGGAGGAGGACGATTGGACGAAGACATGGACGAGGACATGGAGGAGGAGGAGGAGGAGGAGGAGGAGAAGGAGGAGGCAGGACATAACCGATCGGAAGGGCTCAATACTCGCACGAATCAGTGGAGGAGGCGGAGGAGGAGGGTGCGGAGGAGAAGGATAGGGAGGAGTATGAGCGTAACTACGGTGAAGAAAGGACGAGGATGAAGGCGTGGAGGAGAGGATGATCAGTAGGACGAGGGTGAAGACGTGTAGGAGGAAGAGGAGGTGGAAGAGGAGGAGCATGAGGACGGGTATCGCTTAGCGATCGCGCAGAACATCAAAGGATCATGATCACGATGATGAGAAGGACGAGGATGACGGGGAGGAGGAGGAGAACGAGGAGGCGGAGGAGGCGAAGGAGGAGGAGGAGGAGGAGGAGGAGGAGCTCTGGTCGTCGTCGTCGTCGTCGTCGTCGTCGTCGCGTCGTCGTCGTCGTCGTCGTCGTCGTCGTCGTCGTCGTCGCCATCGTCGTCGTCGTCGTCGTCGTCGTCGTCGTCGGGGGGTGGAGGCTTTCTCCGAAGGGCTTAGGCGACCCATCCTCCTCCCTCCTCCTCCTCCCTCCTCCTCTCCTCCTCCTCCTCCTTCTCATCCCTCCTCCTCCTCCTCCTCCTTCTCCATCTCCTCCTCCCCCCCCCTCCTCCACCTTCTCCTCCTCCTCCTCCTGCTCCTCCTCCTCCCCCTCCTCCTCGCCCCCCCCCCTCCGGCGCCCTTCATATGCCCGCGCGCACGTGCAGCCCTGCCTTGTGGAGGGTCGGGCCGGGGTATGAGGTCGAGGTCGGTTCGGGAAGGGCGTGCTAGCGTTCTTCCCCCCTAACCCAGACGCACTCGCGTTGGTTGGACGAATCACGACGGGAGGTTTTCCGCTATTCGGCCTCCGTGGGCCCTCTCCAGGCCCAGGGAGCGTGAGCAAAACGACTCAGGATGAGAAGCGGGGTCCCAGGGAAGGGGTCGAGACCTGCTGGGGTCGACGTTGTGAAGCAATCACGACGACTGGGGTCTGGGTACACGTGCAGCTGGCGTCCTGCCTTGCAGGGAAAGTGAGTGATCAGCATCGACCCCCCCCTCATTGGAAATGCATCACCGATCGGGGCCAGGGGGAACGTGTGGGGGGCATCTCGCCTTACCTGCTGGCGGTGTGCAGACGAGGCTGTGGGATAGGGGCCACGTTGGTTTCGGAGGGGGCTCGATGTTCACTGGGTGCGTCTGACCGGTTTCTTTTCGCGCTTTTTTGGTGTTTCTATCGGTCTTCCTTTCGCGCTTTTTGGCGCATCCTGGCGGAACTGAGGCCCCAAAGGTGCCGTTTTTTCTATCATCCAACACTCCTTATTGCAAAGCTTTGAGTGTATCGCCGTTCTGTGGCCGATGCCCCCACCCCTTTGAGTCGGCCCCCACTCGCAACTCCCCAAGCCTCCCCACCCCGACGTCGTGTTGTGTCCACAACGTGGCCCTCCAGGATCTGGACCCTTTTCCTGGGGCCCGTCTTTCATCCCGAGTAGTTTTGATGGCGGTCCTTGGCTGCCGAAGGCCGAACCTTGCGAGACGTGTCCCTGTGTGATTCTTTCGCTGTGCGAGGGGGTCTGGGTCGGGAAGTCCAAAGGCCTCGGCCCTCGAAGCCCCCCCCCCCTGCGCCTCCCCAAGAGTGCGGGGCCGAGGCTTTCCCCAGAGCCTCCCTCGGGGCTCCCCGAGGCTAGCATCCAGAATAGGGGGCCACATGCGAGC